GACTAAAACCCTTATGGGCAGAGAATACAACTGTCCTCCTAACGATCCTACGTTTGTCCTTCCATGTTGTTAATGCAGAAGTAGAGCACCTACTACATCTGGTGCACATAAAGAATATACGGGAATTCGGGCACATCAATAGACCTACGTTTTTTTTGCGGGCAATAGACACGTACGTGTTGATAGGGTAACATGTTGAATACAAGTACTGCACACGTATGTACGAGGGTAGACAAGAAAGGTACTTGGTAGTGCGTCGATCATGGCATGCGCCGGGGCGTGAGGCAGCCAGAGTGATAGCGGGACAATATGAATAATACTGCCACTGCTACCATTGTCGACCCGTAAATTAAGTACAGTACGTACAAGCTGCCGGAAATGGCGGAAAATGTTTGGTGCCATGCATGCGTGTCTGGCGCGTGGTGGACACGATCCATGTTCTGGTCAGTTGGTACGTATGTGGGGGGTGGGCAGGACAATAATATCACATGGTCCAACACTAGAAGCATGCATGCAACACCAGGTAGAAGTTGCTCGCGACTCATGCATGTCATTTTCACCGTGCTAAATTCATACCCCCGTCCCTAAATATAAATATAAGCCCTTTAGAGATTCCAATATGGATTACATACGAGCAAATGAGTAAATCTACACTCTTAAATACATTCATATACATCTATATGTAGTTCATATTGAGAAATCTAAAAAGGCTCATATTTAGAAACTAAGGGAGTAATACATATTTTTTTAAGGGTCTAGGGGTCCGAAAACCGTCCATATGAATTTCCTACGTGTAAAAAAAATCCATGAGTTTAACAAGCTACTCTTTCCGTTAATTTTTTTTTTGTAAATAAGCGAGCTACTCTATATTTTGGCATACAAATGGAACTATAAACATACGACATTGTTAATTTTGCAGGGTTTTATCCCTTGTTTTTCCCCCTCTTGTAGGTCTTTCTTTTTGCTATTTTTGCGGTCAATTGTGGAAGGAGAAAGTGATGGCCACTTGACAGTGCAAAAAGGTACTAGGAAATTAAAGTGTATGCTAGTACCACGGACAATATGATTTGTTTCAAAAAGGGGGTCAAGTCCAGCCTAGTTGATGCACGCAACCAAAGCACGACAAAAGTATGGACTATATAGTACTACGTGGGTCTTATCCAGTGATCACATATCTGCACTTGCGTGCCCTTCGTTTACGGCGGAGTACATGGTATGATCTGTTCACACTAATTAAAACATATTCTGGTCCACACTACGTTAGAGAGCCTAATGCTATGTTTGATTGTGTTCTGGATTCTAAAAATGCTGTTGTGAGTTCAGTGGCGGAGCTCGAACGGAAAAGTTGGGCGGGCCAGACTTAAGAAGAGCACAAATTTGTTCAAATTCTGGCTCATAAGGACATGTTACAAGCACCCAGGTCACAAGATTGAGCTAGCAAATATGTATATATATAATATATATGTATCAAAGTACAGTTCAACCATGAGTCACTATTGATTTAGCTAATACAAAAGTGTCGAGACATTAGACATGGACTTACTCACATACTAGAAATCAACTCTCCGATCCTTCGTGCTTATAAAATCTGCAATGGCATCTTCATGGCTGTAGTTCTCCAGAATTCCACCCTCTATGTGTACTAACAAGTTAATGATCTTCATACTAGAAAATGCGCGTTCAGCACTGGCTGTAGAAACTGGAAGATCAATTTCTGAAAGAACTGGGAGATAGGAACCACTTCTTTAGATGCATCAACTAGAGCAAGTTGCAAGCGATGGGCATAACAATGGACATAATAAGCATATGGGCATTCTTGGAGGAAAAGAGCTTGCAATCCATTTAACTCGCCTCTCATATTACTAGCGCCTGGGCGAGTGGGCGGCGCGACCGGGCGACGGCGTGAGGGAGCCGGGCAGGGGCGAGGTGGCGAGGGCTAGGCGAGATCCCGCGGGGCGCGGCAGCGCGGGTGTCTCCGGCGGTTGCTCCACGAGACAGCGGGCGACAAGCTCCAGTGGACGGTGGTGCTCCCTGTGCACAGCGGCTACATCTGGAGAACCTAGCTAAGAGGATGGGGAATCGGAGGATGCGTGTCAGCGTGTGCCTGTGCGTGCCTCAGACGAGAGGATGGGGATGATGTGTATGTTCGTGGGCTGGGCTAAGATGACATGTAGGTAAAAAAAAATTTGTTAAATTCCTGGCGGGCCATGGCCCGGTTTAGCCCTACAGAGCTCCGCCCCTGTGTGAGTTGGTTGAGCCTAAGTGAGACTGTGAGAGGAGCTGCAGTGAGTTGCATGGTGCAAATGCTCAATGTATCTATTGTCCTACATATTCTAGTCCTCATGAGTGCTCCAAACTAATTTCACAACTATACATGATTTCCACACGAAGAAGTACAACGCCCTCTCGAGTTTTTTCGTCAATTAGTTTCCCCGCAAAAGAAAAGCAGTCAATTAATTCAAAAGCTGAGTTAGAAAAGAAAGTGACGATGAGCATGCAGCTGGACCGGTGTTTGGTGGAGTGTGAAACAAAGCAAAGGACAAGTCGATCGCGCGCTCAGAGGGGCAGGAGTATACCTCGCTCATTGTATGCCGGAGCTATTTCTCGCCTTTTGCGAGACGACCTTGCATTAGGCAAGCGCATTAGGGCATCTTCAATGCAAAGTGCTTGTACGGGCGCTTAGGAAAATAAACAAAATCATTTAAAATTAAAAGACCATCCAAGCGCTATCTATCCCAACGCTAGACGCTAGTATATATCCAGGCGCTTAAAAAACCATTCTCTGTGCCGAGAGTTGTATCCGGCTCGTTAGAAAAGGCTGAAGCGCTCGGTTCTTATTTTTGCATCGATGCCTGCCCGGGCGCCAGGAAAGGACGGGCCAACTGCCGATTGACCAGGAAATCTATCCTGGCGCCTCACCGTTGGCGCCCGTGTTTTTTTTTTTTTTTTGAGATGGTTGGCGCCCGTGTTGGACATGCCCAGGCCGGCCAAATTCTGGATCATTATTTTTAAATGTCACACATATTTTTTGAATGGTAGGAAACATTATTTGTCGTCAAAAAAAGGAAGCATTTCTTGAATTATGCAAGAACAGATTAACATTGCATATCATTTTTAAAAAATTACCACATGCCTTTTTTAAAATACTTTAACATATTTTAAATGTGATTAACATTTTCTTTCTGGAATACTATGATTTATTTTAGCAGTAAACCAACCTTCATTAACTCGGAGTGTGGTTTATAAGGGTGACAAAAGGGTCGTGGGGTGAAACCAGCCACAAATGGCGACCCGCGCCTAAAGGCGATGAGAATTTAGCTAAATTATGTGCATCAAAATTTAAACTACGCCCTTAAAAAATGATCTCACAACTTGTGAATTCCATGGATCGTTCCGCGATCTCCTTTATTATTGCACTATATCGTCCCTCCATGCCAGTCTTGATCTCTTGCACAACTGCTGGGTCAGTAATACCCCTGAAAACCATTGCCAATGTGCCAAGAATATTTCCCATATGATCCGGCAAACTGAAGCCTCTGCACCACTCAACCATCTCTTGAAAAACCTCCATCAACTTGTATTTTTTCTGCTCCTTGGCTGGGCGCGGTCCACCTCATTTTAGAGTTATGCTACTCCCTAATTAACTGTCACAACGTGAGTGGCCATGTGAATGGGTTGCGTCAAGTAAATGGGCCAAGGGAGTAACAAAACATTTACATTGTGTTATGGTTTGTACATATTTGTGGTAAAAAAATTAAAGCAATTAAAGTGTATTGAAATATATGCATTTATAATTTTTTTAGAAAATATAAAAATTAAAAGGAAAAAAAACCAAAAAAATAGTATGGGTTCCTACATATGTGATTATTTTTATTATGAAAACACTTTTTTACTGCTCTGTTTATTGATAGAACTGGTTTTTATTCTTGATATATTTTTATCAATTTATACTTTAGATTAAGAGACTGCATGTGACCGAATTTTTTTCTTGTAGATCTGAAAAATATCAGCACAATGTTATAATATGTTTTTTTAAAACATTCCATTTAAAAAAACACATTAGTCATGTATTAAAAGCATCCATCTGGTACTTAAGAAATGTTCGTCATGCATTAAAACTTTCATTATGTATCTAGCAATGTCCGTTTTATATTTTAAAAATTAATACATTTCAATATGTTCATCGGGCATAAAATAAAATTTATCGTGTTGTATAAAATGTCCATCGTGTACGGAAAAATGTTCATCGTATATTGGCAACATGTTTATCGTGTATTCATAAAATATTCATCATAAAGGTTTCTAAATAGTTGAGAAAAAATGTCCATATAGCTCACAAGATTTACTTAGACACATCAGAATATGTTCAGATATGTCACAAGACTTGTTCCGAAAGTCCACAAAAGATGTTCACGCCCCTCGAAAAAAAATCTGATAATTCCAAGCAAGTTTCTGCTTCTCCAGCACATTCCATCCCTTCCATTTCAACAAGTTGATGTTTTCTGCCGTTGATTGATGAAGGTGCACTGCTGTTTCCGCTCAGTGAATGCTTGAATGTTCAAAGCCACCGTACAATTGTTCAGATAATTCCAAGCACTTTTTGCTGTGCATATCCATACACGCCATACAATTGGTTTTGTATTTCAAATAAGTTTCAGTGGTGTATAGATAATTCAGATAATGTTCATCAAAGCGAGAATCTAGGACGCGCTGGTTTTATAAACCTTAAGTGAGCGAGTATCTAATGTTTAGTAATAATATCTCAATTAACTTAGAAATAAAGGCTCTAAGAATTCCACAAAAGCTTCCCCAATAAAGAGTGCCAATTGACAGATGACTAGATCGTCGGCTGACAACAGTTACTGACTTTGAACCATGCATATTCCACCTGCTATATATGACAACGAGTGGTCCAACACTCCCGATATAACAAATCAAAAGTTTGCATCGGGAAAGAGAAAAAGAACAAATCAAACGCACTCCATAAACTAAATAAATGACTAGCACTGGTACTGATGTTTCAGTAGGGAAGAAGAGGCCTTGTTTGAACTGGCCGTCGAGGTGCTAGCGTCAGAGGAAATGGTCGTTGTTGCACCAGAGGTTGGTGGCGGCACGCTGGAGCTGGACGACGTCAGCGACGTCGACAGCCCAACTTCGTCGCCCAAGGTGAGCGGCGGTGGTGCGTATGTCGGCACCGGCATCTTGGAGGGGAGCACCGGCAGCTGGCTGCAGTTGTGGAGCGTGGCCATGGCTTCCCGGACGGTCGGCCGAGCGGTCGTGTCCGGGTGTGTGCACCAGAGACCGACGACCATCACCCTCTCCACTTCCGCCGCGTCGTGGTCTCCGTTGAGCCGCTCATCGGCTGCCTCGAGGATGGCTCCCTCGCCGTACAAGCCCCAGGCCCACTCGACCAGCCGGAAGACGCCGCCGTTCTTGCGCTGCTGGTCCTCATCTGACGGGATCATGCTCATCGGCTTCCTGCCGCACGCCACCTCAAGCAGCACCACGCCGAAGCTGTACACGTCGGACTCGGTGCTGGCCCTGCCGGTGACGATGCACTGGGGGTCTAGGTAGCCCGGAGTCCCTGAGACTGCAGTCATCGTCTGCGTCCCGGCGGCGTGGTCGACGAGCCTCGCGAGCCCGAAGTCCCCGAGCTTGGCTCTGAAGGACTCGTCCAGCATCACGTTGCTGGGCTTGATGTCGCGGTGCAGCACGCATTGCTCCCACTCCTCGTGGAGGTAGAGCAGCGCGGATCCAAGCTCCAGCAATATCTTCATCCTCATCGGCCATGTTAGGAAAGTGCCATGCTTGCCATGGAGATGGATGTCAAGGCTGCGGTTGGGCATGAGCTCGTAGACCAGCAAGAGCTCCTCTCGTCCATGGCACCAGCCGAGGAGCTGCACTAGGTTCCGGTGGCGCAGCCTGCTTATCACCTTGATCTCCGACTTGTACTCCCTCTTTCCTTGCAGCGAGGACTCATGCTTGGAGAACCTCTTAATGGCCACGGCAAGCCCAGGTGGCTCTCTCAGGTAGCCTCGGTATACGGCACCGAAGCCACCTTGCCCAAGCTTCTCCTCAGCGGCGAAGTTCCTCGTCGCTTCCACAAGCTCTTGGTACGGGAATCGCCTTGGCCCTGTCCCCATCTCGATCTCTGTCATCGGGTCACCTTCGCCTTCCGAGTCTGTGTAGTACTCCTCCGTCTCCATGATTTTCCGACGACGACGGCGGCGCCGCACTACGAGTGCTGCTGTGGCAGCAAAGAGGAGCACGAGGAACAATGTTGCACCAGCAGCTGCCCCAGCTATAACTCCAGGGCCCGGCCTTGACGGGGAGGATGTTGCTACTGGTGGTGGTGACTGCGGCGGCGGTTCCAATGAAGAGCTGAAGGACCAAGAGCGTAGCTGATGCAGTTCGATGGCGTTGGATGTGGACGCGGAGAAGCCAACGGAGACCTGCTCCGGCAGTGCGCTCTTGAGGTCAACCTTGGAGCTAAGGCTGTAATTCCGGTCCCTCGCTTGGCCAGATCTATCATCACCGACCCATACCGTCACCGCCAAGATGCTGCTAACATTGTCGTACTCGACCATAGCGGTCAGGTTGTCCGTCAGCTCGAAGCTCGGCAGGGTCAGCGTGCTCACCGACCGGAGGGAGTTGACGTCGATGCCGATGTGGTCATAGGTCTCGCGGGGATCGGACACCACCGTATTGTTGTAGGTGTCAAACTCCACCGCCACGAACCGGCTGTCCCCGGTCGCCACGGCATCGGCGCTCTGGTTGGTGAGGGCGAGGTTGTAATCGATGCAGCGGGCCGGGAGGCTAGACGGGTAGGCGGCAAGGAAAAAGGCCATCCCTTGCCCCTTGCTGTTGATGTCGCCGGAGATGGCGAACGAGAACCGCGTGGTGAAGCTGGCCACCTTGCCGGTCGCCTTGTCCCAGAGCAGCATCGGCCTGGCATTGTACGACGCCCGGCCATTGCTGTAGTCGATATTACCGAACCTGTTGGCGCTGATGTCGATCCATCCGACGCTGAACGACGCGTCGCCTTCGATCTTGATGTCGTTCTGGTCCGCTGAGCTCAAGGTGGAGTAGTTGAAGGACAGGGAGACGGCAGGAGCAGGGAGGTGGAAGAAGATGAGGAGGAGAGCACAGATGGTTGCTGTCGAAAAGCCAGACATCCTGGGCGCCGGCGACGATGCATCCTCGACGCATAAACCTTGTTATATACATAGATAAATAGATAAAGAGAAACACCAGGAAGAAGTCGGTCTAGCTGCCTAGTAAAATTAGTACTAATTCAATCTCCTATCTAGTCTAGAACGCTGAAAGCTTCAATCACCTAGTCAACTCTAACTCCTTGACTACTTCCCAGCTAAGGAACTCAGTTTTCTGCGAATTAGCTAAAATACAGCCTGAGTGCGTTCTTGTTAAAACGCAGCCGATTTCTAGGGCATGTGATTCGTTCAAGATTCATGGTGATCAAGCCGGAGACGGGTCTGAACTGCGCTGAAGGTCATGGCGGCGACCGGTCAGGCGGCCACTTCTATGCTAAACTACACCGTGAGTAATGGTCTATCTATTTGATGTAACATCTTCTAACTCCTCGGTTAAAACAGCTAGAATCTGGTTGAACAAATCAAGCATACTTGTTCAAACCACACTACTTTTTAAAGGAAAGAGAGCATTCATAATTAATACTCCTACGTAACAAAGATTCATTCCATGGAAGCGCCAGGTCAAAGCAAACAAGGTAAAATAAGACACCTTAGGAACCTACTCCCTTCGTTCCAAAATAGATGACCCAACTTTGTACTAACTTTAATACAAAGTTGGGTCATCCATTTTGGAACGGAGGGAGTACGTACTAAGGACAAACTGACAATACAAGCAAGTTGGAACCACCCTGGGGTCCCTGGCAAATGACAAACTTTCAGCTCTATGCAGCAGTTAGTCCGCACACATACCATGAGCGTTGCAAAACTTCTGATGTCATTCCAGAGTAAACATTCACACGAGTACAGCATTATCCGATACTTAACTCAATGAAAAGAACAATGAACTTACTTGCTATGAAGAGATTCCGCATATATTTCTCCCCTTCCCTATCCAAGGAAAGGTCTAGATTAGTCAAAACTCAGAGCATCCCTGTATTACAACTGTTTTCAGGATGAGGAGTTGCTAGATCAATGAGCTATACCCAACGGTTGCCTGATTCTCAAACAATGATCAGTGAGCTACACTATGACCCGATTGTATGTTCTGTGTAACAGAACCATTTGAATAAAACATGCCTACTTGTTCATCATACTATTATGAAAAAAGTTAGTCTCGTCATAATCAAGTAATACCGAATAGAGGATTATTGCCGAGTCATTAAGCTATAATATAATTGGAAATGCAGAGCAGAGTCAAAGAACTTCACTTTCTATTTTCAAGAAATCCATCTAAGCCACACTACACCAACAGCCATTTAATGGCACAGACCATCATTACCTAGCCCCAGTTTTCTCCACGGTGGTTTACATATTATAGTTTGCCAAAGTACACAAGAAGAAAGCTCATGCCAACACTACATACCCGAGCATTCACAGCGCTGCCCCAAGCTTAGGAAAGAGGTCCCTATGATGAAGCTAAGATATTCTTGTAGGCTGTGAATTTTCGTCATACATCAAAATGTCGATTAAAAAGTTTGTATGTGCTGTCTATGAACCTCAAAAAAAAAACAATGCCAGTGATTACGTTTGTTGTTTCATCATATCAGCCAGAAATAAGAACCGTTCTAATACCTCACATTCATATAAACGCGTAAGTTCTTCTGACACTCAATTTAGATGCAAACTTTTTTTTTCATTTTTTATCCAAGGTGACTTTTGTTCCCCTCCATGTACATTTTGACAGTAAAATTGGCATGTGACAAATTAATAAACTTACATGCAACATACCACGGCTAGGCCTGTAAGGTCAGCTTATTCTAAAGCCTCAATGCCGTAAATGTTCCAATTGTTCATAGGAAAATTTGTTTCAGAAAGAAAGCAAATTTAGCATATTTTTAGAGATAAATTTGATGCTACTATAAATAAATTGTAGTAATGTAAACACATTGATATATTTACACCTTGATATAATATATACGATGCAAATGAAAAAGAACAAAGAAATTAGCATAAAGAAAACCTTTTTGGCTGCTGACAGCATTCCGTGCCCTTGAATCTTTCAGCCTTTCTGATAAACCAGTGTCTGCTGTCTGCTTGGGCTTTTCTTGCATTGCCATACCATGATGGCCAGAAGCTTCTTGCTTCATTTCCTTCATCACCTATATAACAATCATTAAGCGTATCAGAATAGGGCTTGATGTTTGGTAACCAACAATATGTGTCCCTTAAACCATGATTCATCATAAACAAACACTTTTTCTAAAAAAAACACAAGAAACAAATTGTATGTTGACTTACTCTTTTAAATCAAACATGCTCCATGGCCCAAGGCAAATCTTCAGGGTCCCATCTAAACCGTAACTGAGCTGCAGAAGAGAAGCGCTCCATCGTCTTATCGCTGAGTCTATCAAACAATCAAACTGTACCCGGTGGCACATTTTCTGATTGTAGACACACGCAGTGGATTTCCCGGTGATGCTCGCCCACCAACCATTCCCGGTCTTCTATCTCAGCGTCGTTGCACTTTGTATTTCCGTTATGCAAGTGATGGATATGGGCCTGGTTCAAAAATTTATAAACCAGAAGTAAAGTGTGAAGCAGTATATATAATGTATATATATAGTAATGATTTCTCAATGAGCTTAGAAATAAAGGCTGTAGAGGATTCCATGAGGTTACCAACTAATCAAGTCTGTCCCCCATACTCAAACAAACAATGTATAAAATAGAGAGTATGACCAGATCACGTACTAGAGCCGGCCGATGACAGTTAGTAACTTGGAACAAATCAAACGCAAGCCATAACCTAAACAAATGACTAGCACTAGTACTGACGTTTCAGTAGAGAAGAATATGCCTTGTTTTAACTGGTCGTCGAGGTGCTACCACGTCCGTCCGAAGAACTGGTTGTCGTACAAGTGGTGTGCGCTGGGACGCTGGTGCTGGTGGACGATGTCAGCAACTTTGACAGCCCGTCGTCCAGGTCCAAGGCGAACGGTGGCTGAGCATATGTCGGCACCGGCATCTTGGAGGGGAGCACCGGCAGCTTGTCGACCTTGGAGTGGAGCTTGGCCATGGCTTCTCTGATGGTCGGCCGCGCGCTCGGGTCCGGGTGTGCACACCACAGCCCGACGACCAGCACCCTCTCCACCTCTGCTGCGTCTAAGTCACCATTCAGCAGCTCGTCGGCGGACTCAAGAATGGCTCCCTGGCCGTACAGCCCCCAAACCCACTCAACCAGCCGGAACACGCCACCGTACTTTTGTTGCTGGTCCTGATCGGTCGCAGTGAAGCTCATCGGCTTCCTGCCGCACACCACCTCCAGCAGAACCACGCCGAAGCTGTACACGTCTGACTCGGCGCTGGCCCTGCCGGTGACGACACACTGGGGGTCCAAGTAGCCCGGAGTCCCTGAGACTGCGGTCATAGTCTGCGTCCCGGCGGCATGGTCGACAAGCCTTGCGAGCCCGAAGTCGCCCAGCTTAGCTCCAAATGACTCGTCTAGCATCATGTTGCTGGGCTTGATGTCCCGGTGCAGCACGCACTGCTCCCACTCCTCGTGGAGGTAGAGCAGCGCGGACCCGAGCTCCATCACTATCTTCATCCTCATCGGCCATGTGAGGAAGGTGCCCTGCTTGCCATGGAGATGGATGTCGAGGCTGCGGTTGGGCATGAGCTCGTAAACCAGCAGGAGCTCCTCGCGGCCATGGCTCCAGCCGAGGAGCTGCACGAGGTTCCGGTGGGGCAGCCTGCTTATCACCTTGATCTCTGACTTGTACTCCCTCTTTCCTTGCAGGGAAGAATCATGCTTGGAGAACCTCTTAATGGCCACGGGAAGCCCAGCTGGCTCTCTCAGGTAGCCTCGGTAAACCGCACCAAAGCCACCTTGCCCAAGCTTCTCCTCCGCGGCAAAGTTCCTCGTCGCTTCCACGAGCTCGTGGTATGGGAACCGCCTTGGCCCCTTCACCATCTCGATCTCCATCACCGGGTCACCTTCGCCTTCCGAGTCTGTGTGGTACTCATCCGTCTCCACCATTTTTTGTTGATGGTGGCGACGCACAACGAGTGCCACTGTAGCGGCGAAGATCAGCACGAGGAACACTGATGCACCAGCAGCTGCCCCGGCTATAACTCCAGGACCCAGCCTTGACGGGGAAGATATTGCTGCTGCTGGCGGCAGCGGCGGCGGTTCCAACGAAGATCTGAAGGACCAAGAGTGTAGCTGATGCAGTTCGATGGCGTTGGATGTGGATGCGGAGAAGCCAACCGAGACCTGCTCCGGCAGTGCGCTTTTGAGGTCAACCTTGGAGCGAAGGTTGTAACTCCGGTTTCTCGGATGGCCGGCATTATCATCACCGAGCCACACCGTGACTGACAAGATGCTGGTAACATTGTCGTAGTTGATGTCGGCAGTCAGGTTGCCGGTCAGCTCGAAGCTCGGCATAGTCAGTGTGCGCACGGACCGGAGGGAGCTGATGTCGATGCCGATGTGGTCGAAGGTGTCGTGGGGGTCAGACACCACCGTATTGTTGAAGGTGTCGAACTCCACCGCCACGAACCGGCTGTCGCCGGCCGCCACGGCATCCGCGCTCTGGTTGGTGAGGGCGAGGTTGTAGTCAGGGCAGCGGGCTGGCAGGCTGGACGGGTAGCCGGCGAGAAAGAAGGCCATGCCTTGCCCCTTGCTGCTGATGTTGCCGGAGATGACGAACGAGAAGCGCGTGGTGAAGCTGGCAACCTCGCCGGTCGCCCTGTCCCATAGCAGCATCGGCTGGGCATTGTACGACGCCCGGCCATTGCTGTAGTCGATGCTGCCGTACCTGTTGGCGCTGATGTCGACCCATCCGACGCTGAAGGATGCGTCGCCTTCGATCTTGATGGCGTTCTGGTCCGCTGAGCTGAATGTGGAGTAGTTGAAGGACAAGGAGATGGCAACAGTAGGAAGGTAGAAGAAGAAGATGAGCAGGAGGAGGAGAGCACGGGTGGTGGGTGTCGAAAAGCCAAGCATCCTCACATCGGCGATGGTCACGATGCATCCTCGATACATCAACTCTATTATACCATGCATAAAGAGAAACGCCAGGAACAAGTCATTCTAGCTGCCTTGTTTAATTAGCCCTCAATCTTCTAGCAACTGCATCTCCTTGGCTTCATTCCAGCTAAGAAACTCAGATTTTCTGCAGATTAGCTAAAATGCAGTCGCCTGTGTTTTCATTAAAATGCAGCCGATTTCTAGGTCGGTCGATTCATTCGTGGTTCATGCTGATCAAGCCGGAGACGGGGACGATGCAGAGCAGAGGCAGTCTGAACTGAAGGTGGTGGTTTATTTTCTGAATTTTTCTATCTATTTCTGAACTGTGACACGGATGTACTACATATCCTTCATGTATTCTTCTGGCTCTGCCAGTTATGTTAATGAAATGAAAAGTAGCACTGGCTACATTGTTAAAGAAAAAAAGCTGAACCAGGCAGCAGTGTTTTCGTAAAACCACATCATGAATAATAGTATCCTATATATATATGATGTAACATCATCTAACTTGTTCTATGTTAAGACAGCTACAATATGGTTGAACAAATCAAGCATACTTGTTCAAACGATACTACCATTTTAAAGGAAAAAAGGAGCATTCTTGATTAATACTACTCCTTAGGATCCTACGCACCAAGGACAAACTAACAATACAAGCAAGTTGGAACCACCATGGCAAATGGCAAACTATCAGCTTTAAGCATCAGTTAGTCCGCACATACCATGAGCATTGCTAAATTGCTGATCGGTGTTGTCTGTGTCATTCCATAAGTAAACATCCACAAGAGTACAGCATTGCCTGATTGTTCATTGAAAAGGACAGTGAACTTGCTATGCTCAGGTTTCACATATATTTTTCCATTCCCCTATCCAAGGAAAGGGCTACATTAGTAATGGACAGACTATAATGGGTAATGCAGAGCAGACACAAAGCACTGGACCTTTATTCTCTTAATTTTCAGGAAACCTAAGCCGTGCCACAACCAACGCACATTTAGGCACAGAGCAGCACTACTTAAACAAGCACTGGGAAGAGGGGGAGTACACAAGAAGAAGAAAAAGGTTGTACCAGCAATACCGTAAACATTTTCCCACCACTGCCACAAGCTGAGAAAATATATAGGTCTAGATTATCTTGTGGAGATTTCGCCTCCTGCCTGACCTGATGATGGATTCTGCACACATACTGATAAGTGATAATCGACCTTGGACTTGTAATGCTGTGTGATCGAAGTAGTTAGAGCATCGCTACAAGATCAAGAACATAGATAGACAGATTAGTAGAGTACATGCATACTCTCCAGAATCCATCATAAAGATTTGACAGGTTAAAAGAGCTAAGTAGTGGAGTTGATTTGATTAGTGACCTGACCCTCCTGTCCTGGTCAGGGCAAATTTGAAGGTTAAACTTTGCTACCTGCGTAGTTGCCGAGCTGCCCTTCAGTTCAGACGCGAGCGGCCGGCCGCCGGAGCCTCCCATCGATGCGCCGCTCCTCCACGGCAAACAACAGCGACGCCCTCGACTGGCGCCCGTCGTCGGCTCGGTCGCCTACTCCGATGCATCGCCAGATCTCGAGCTGCCCCCGCATTCCTCCCAGCGGTGGCGCGACCGGCCGGGCTGGCGGAAGTCAGGCGGTATACGGGCGGTGGCCGTCGGCGGCGGAGGATTCCGGTGGGAGTTGGGGGAGGGTTGATGACTGGACGGGCCGTGGTTGAGCGGAGCGTATTCCAGTGGCCCCGGGCTACCCGTAGCGGGCCTCGAGCCTCAGTTGATTTCGCACATTTTTTATTTTCCAGACACGTACACTCACATTTCTCCAGACTTATATTTTGAAAAAAAAAACAAATCTCCAGACCTTTCTTTATGAGATGGATCATATACGTGTATACTCAACAAAAGGAAAAACTTACTCTACTTAGTTAAGTTTACGCATCTCATAAGAATGGGAGTTTTCTAGTTTACGGGGATTTTAGGATATAATAACTGGTAAATTTTAATGGGCATTTCTATAATAGAAATTTGCAGTTGCTTTGAAATAGAAATTTTTGTGGGAACCTGTGACTGATATAGTCTTTAATTACTACTCCCTCCGTCCGAAAATACTTGTCATCAAAATTGATAAAAATGATGTATCTAGAACTAAAATACATCTAAATACATTTTTTTTATTCATTTTGATGACAAGTATTTCCGGATATGAGTAGCTGCTGGGATAATATTCTTGCATGTTTTTGGTAAATTGTGTCCTGGAAATTGATTAATTGGGTGCAAAGATTCTCTAGTAGTTTAGACTCTTTGCAGTATGAATTTTCTCATTCGCTATTAAAATGTTCACTACACAACAACAGCACGATGACCGCGTGGCCTAATGGATAAGGCGCTCGCCTCCGGAGCGGGAGATTCTGGGTTCGAGTCCCAGCGTGGTCGCTTTTTTTCTGTTTCATGTCCCGGCGTTTTTGTCTTCGTTTTTCTTTTCTGTCTTACAAGTAGTACATTCTAACATCTATATGCATTTTTATTTTTGTTTATGTACTACCTCTATGGAAGTACGAATGGTGAAAAAACAAAATCTAACCATGCTGATTGGATGACCTAAATCACTCCTTAACACTCTAATTACCCACCACTGACATCGGTAATGACCTTGTTTGGACTAAACCCTCCGTCTCTATCTCGAAAAAGAAAAACTCGTACCACACCTCTCCCGAACTGCCCCGCGACACACTCATGGTCGCCCTTCCCGCTGGCCCATGGAACCTTGGGATTTGGGCCCTATCACGCTGGAAAGGTGGCAATGCTATTAGTGCTAAGGAAGAGAAATTCACCCCACGGTGATTCAAGGGACTGAATGCACGAAGAGAGGAGCCCGACGAAGGCCTCGGAGCCCGGCTTCTTGTGACCTCTACCACGCTAGGGGGCTACTGGCAGGGTCCTAAACCCGGGGTACCTGACGTGCAGAGCTCGGCCTCGAGTTCGACCAAGGCCCACCGGGCCCAAAGAATACCAGGGAACCCTAAGGAGACAGAGGCGTTGAGCGTGTTCCCAAGATAGTGGGTGGCAGCCGAGCGAACCTGGCCTATCCCCCTTATGTAAACCCTAGGTCTCTCCTGTCTATATAAAGGGATGCCTAGGTCCTCATTCCGAATCCAATCTGAACTCCCGGGTGCCATCTCAACATCATTGTAATCCTCTGCATGAGGTATCCCCTCATGATGAATGGCAAGAAGAAGCAATATGTAGGGTATTACTCTTCGGAGGCCCGAACCTGGGTAAACTGTGTGTGCAGACTCCGTCTCGATGCTACCAGTCACATCATGAACCCTACCGAGGGACCTGACGGGAATTTGCTCCGTCAACAAGGAAGCTTAAGGTAGCGAACGAAGTTGAAGCCGATGCTGAAGCTGTGGGATCTCCCACGTTGGAGCTACACACCAGCCACATTCTTAGATAGAATAATGTTTATTTATGTGCCTACCTTAAGTAGGAATTTGATTTTAGTTTCTTGTTTAGATGATGATATGTACGAGTGCTAGGTTAGCAACAAACAACTTGTTTTGAACAAATGTAATAAGAATGTTGGCCTCGGTGTTAGACAAGGCAAGTTATACAAGATATCTCTTAATAATTAATGATTCAGTTATGCATGTGAGTAATGAAATTAATGTTGAGAAGAAATGGAAAGGAGTTAATAATTCTTCGAAATTGTGGCACCGTTGTTTGGGCCACATTTCTAGGGGGAGAATGGAACACTTAGTTACAAATGAAATACTCCTCCCATTAGACTTTTCATATGTGGACAAATGTGTCGATTGCACTAAAGGAAGATACACAAAAACAATTAAGAAAGGAGCAGTAAGAGGCATAGGGTTTTAGAATTAATTCACACCGACATATGTGGACCCCTTAACACTAAGATTGTGGACGGTTTTGGTTCATCCATTACATTGATAGATGACTTTTCCCGATATTGGTATATTTATCCCATATGTGACCAATCGGAAGATTTGGAGAAATTCAAAGTCTATAAAGATGAGGTTGAAAATCAACTGAATGCAAAAATCAAAGTTGTACGGTCTGATGGGGGGGGGAGTATTATGGTAGGCATGCTCCTTATGGGAAGAATCCTGGACCTTTTGCCAAGTTCATATCTGAAAATTGAATCATTACTCAATACTCAATGACTGGTGAACCACAACAAAATGGTGTGGCTGAGTGTCGCAATCACACCCTTATGGATATGGTGCGAAGCATGCTTAGTCACTCGAGTTTACCAGTAGGCCTTTGGATGGAGGCATTAAATACAGCCGCACATATACTAAATCTCTCTCCAACCAAGGCAACACCGAACACACCTTACGAGATGTGGGCGGTAAAGAAACCGAGCTTGAAGTACTTATGGTTGTGGGGTTGTCCCGCACTCCTGCTAAAGCTAAGGTTTTCAATCCACAACTTAGGAAATTGGATCAAAAAACAGTTAGATATTTCTTTGTTAGATATCCTCATAGGGAAAAGGGATGTCGTTTTTGTTGTCCAAGTCACACCACCAAATTTGTGGAAACTAGACAAGAGGTATTTTTTAGGATAATAAGGTCACAAAAATAAGGGAGATCAATCTTGTGGAGAATCGGGTTTGTGCACCATCCCCAATTATCCAAGATATTGTTTTTCCAATACAAAGAAATGTGCCATCTGATGATCTTGAATCTAACAGTTCAATTTCTCAACCAAATGGTGATCCGGAAACTAATAATAATGAAAAGCCAGACACAAGTGAGGATCCCCGGGAAAATAATGATCCTCAAAATGATGATGTACCACCACCACCTCCTCATGTGGGTAGACCACGACATGAGAGGAAGAAAGCCATATCAGATGATTATGTCACTTTCATGATTGAGGATATAAATGATATAGGAAAGGTGGAGGATCCAACCTCTTATAAGGAAGCCAATTAAAGTGACAAATTCGTCCAAGTGGTTGGTTGCCATGGAAGACGAGTTGAAATCTATGCGCTCAAACGACGTTTGGGACTTAGTAGAAGTTCCCGATGAAGCTAAGAAAGTAGACTGCAAGTGGGTCTACAAAACCAAGTATGATTCCAAAGGGATGTTGAATGGTTCAAGGCAAGGCTTGTGGCAAAAGGGTTCACACAAAGAGAAGGAATTGACTATAAACAAACCTACTCCCTTGTGCCAACCAAGGATCCTTCTAGAATTGTCATGGCATTAGTAGCTCATTACGACCTAGAACTACATCAAATGGATGTTTAAACTACATTTCTAAAACATTTACATGGCCCAGCCGGAAGGCTTTGTTGTGGAAGGGAAGGAACATTTAGCATGTCATCTAAAGAAATCAATTTATGGCTTGAAGCAAGCTTCAAGAGAGTGGTACCTCAAGTAGCATTTCTAAAATGTTTACATGGCTCAGCCGAGAGTGTTGTGGAAGGGAAGGAACATTTAGCATGTCATCTAAAGAAATCAATTTATGGCTTGAAGAAAGCTTCAAGAGAGTGGTACCTCAAGTTTTGATAAAATTATCAAAAACTTTGGTTTCACCGGAAATGTTGTGGACAACTGCATCCATGTTAAATTTAAAGGCAGTAGGTTCACAATTTTAGTCCTATATGTTGATGACATATTGTTGGCATGTAGCAATAAAGATATGCTGCATGAGACCAAGAATTTTCTGACATCCAGCTTTGATGAAATATCGATATAGGTCCAGAGGAACATTAGGACTGTCTCAAACGGCATACTTTGAGAGAGTGCTGAAGAAATTCAATATGCCATAAGTGCTCATCATCACCTGCTCCTATAAATCAAGGGCGATAAGTTTGGGACATTTCAATGTCCGAGGAACCAGTATGAAACTGATCAGATGAAGTCGGTTCCTTATGCTTCAGCTGTCGGAAGCATCAAGTACGCTCAAGTTTGTACATGCCCAGATTTGTGTTTTGTAACCGGGATGCTTGGCAGATACCAATCAAATCTAGGACCAGGTCGCTAGAAGGCCGCAAAGAAAGTCTTGCGTTATGTGCAACGAACTAAGGATTTCATGCTTACATATAAAAGAACTGATAACCTAGAAATTATTGGTTATTCAGACTCTGATTTTGCCGGGTGTGTGGATTGTAAGTGATCCACGTCAGGTTATATATTCACACTCGTGAGTGGAGCCATATCGTGGCAATTTTACTTCTTTACTTGCCATGGCAAGTTAATTTTTACATCCATGGCAAATTTTACAATTTATTTGCCATGGCATTTTTCAGTCCACATTTTTATGTGTCTTCATGTATATAGTAAAACATCATGGCAATAAAGTTAACCTTTCATTTTTGCCATTGCATAATTACCTTAATCAACATGTCAAATTTACCTAAATTGCCATGGCAATTCTTATTGCCATGGCAATTTTTACTTTTTATTTTTGCCAAGCCATGGCAAATTTACCCTAATTGACATTGAAAATTTACCTAAATCGCCATGGTAAATATTTAACTTTTATTGCCATGGCAAATTTAGCTTTTTTTTCACGGCAAATTTTTATTTCATTCACTATATAGCATGGCAACTTTTTGTCATGTAGTATAGATTTCCTAGATTATTTTTCATGAGTGTTTTTTTGCCATATTTTTTCAAAACAATCCATGTACCTGTTACATTTTTCCAAAAAAATTGCAATGTGTTTTAGTGAAAAAGTCCCCTAAATATTCCATCTTGTTTTGAAGAAAAACATACTAAATTTGACATGTGAAAACATTTCATTATAGATAGTGCAATAATTTTATTTATTTTTTAATCGATGGTAAATTTATGTTTTGAGATCATGGCAGTTTAGGTCTGAGATCATCGGCCATAGCAAATTCCCTTCTTTTCTTTAATTTTCATGATGCAAATTTTATTCTCTAGTGCCATGGAAGAGTTAGCTTTTTGTCGGTTCGGCCGACAGTGAATTGCGGTTGACTAGTTGACTTGGAAGGTTTCAATATTCTAGACTAGCCTAGAGGTTTGCCAAAAAAGAAAGACTATTTTTTTGTTTGTATGATGGAAATTGCCATGACTATTTTTTCTTTGTGTCATTGCAAAACAAAAATCTTTTTACCCATGGCATTCTTGTGCTTTTAAAGTTGATGACTTTTCTCTTCGGTAGCACAGCAAAATATGGACCTTTATAGCAAAAAAAAATAGGTGGACTTTTTTTCGCTACCGGGCTGTAGGGTCGATGGGGAGGGCCGTTCGCGCTGTGGGGCGAACATATTGGGGGGTCCTAAAGTTTTGGCACGAGAGTAGAGTTAGCTTGTTGTCGGTTCGGCCGACAGTGAATTGCAGTTGACTAGTTAACTTGGAAGGTTTCAACATTCTAGACTGGGCTAGAGCTTTGCCAAAAAAGAAAGACTAGCTAGAAGAGCCAACAAATAATAATCAAAGAAAGGCCAGCTGGACTGACAATGACTAGTACACGTCGCTTGTTCCTGGCGTGTATAAAATTTGCACGCCAACAACACACACCGAGGCACAACCGAGCAGCGTGGCGAGTGCCCGGGATGGTGGGCTTTTCGAGCGCCACCACCTGTGCTCTCCTCCTCCTCCACCTCGTCATCTTCTTCTTCTACCTTCCTACTCCTGCCGTCTCCTTGTCCTTCAACTACCCCACCTTCAGCGAAGCAGACCGGAAGGGCATGAAGATCGAAGGCGACGCATCCTTCGGCGACACATCCACCGGAGTAATCGAGATGAGCACAAACATGTACGGTAGCATCAGCCGGGCGTCGTACAACGCCCAACCGGTGCAGCTCTGGGACAAGGCGACTGGCGAGGTGGCCAGCTTCACGACGCGGTTCGACTTCCTCGTGTACGGCTCCAACAACGGCGTCAACAACCGTAACATGGGCATGGCCTTTTTCCTCGCTGGCTACCCGTCTAGCCTGCCGGCCGACTCTCCTGACTACAACCTCGGCCTCACTAACCAAAGCGCAGACGCCGTGGCATCCGGCGATAGCAATACAATAGTATCCGACGACCCATACGACCACATCGGCATCGACGTCAACTCCCTCAGATCGGTGAGCACACTGCCCCTGCCAAACTTCACCCTCACGAGCGCGCCCATGACCGCTGCGATCGAGTACGATCATGTTTCCAGCATCTTAGCGGTGACGTTATGGGTCGCGGACGGCCTCAGCAATTACCAGAGTTACAATCTTAGCTCCAATGTTGACCTCAAGAGCGCACTACCGGAGCAGGTCTCCATTGGCTTCTCAGCATCCACGTCCAACGCCATCCCATCGCAGCTTACAGTGATGAGGATAGTGCTACACTCTTGGTACTTCAACTCTTCGTTCGAACCACGGCCAGCACCACCACCATCACCACACTCCCCGCCAGCGCCAGGTTCTAGAGTTATAGCCGGACCACAACCAGCACCACACTCCCCACCAGCGCCAGGTTCTGGAGTTATAGCCGGAGCGGTGGTCGGCGCAACAATGTTTCTTCTGCTCCTATTCGCCGCTGTGGTGACACTCGTGGTGCGCCGCCGCCATCGTAAGATTCTGGATACCAAGGAGGATTACACAGACTCCCAAGGCGAAAGCGAGCCGATGACGGAGATCGAGATGGGGACGGGGCCAAGGCGGTTCCCATACCACGAGCTCGTGGAAGCGACGAGGAACTTCGCCGCGGAGGAGAAGCTTGGGCAAGGCGGCTTTGGCGCCGTATACCAAGGCTATCTGAGAGAACCAGCTGGGCTTGCCGTGGCCATAAAAAGGTTGCAGTCTTCCATACAGGGAAAGAAGGAGTACAAATCCGAGGTCAAGGTGATAAGCAGGCTGCGTCACCGGAACCTCGTGCAGCTCATCGGCTGGTGCCATGGCCATGATCAGGAGCTCCTGCTGGTCTATGAGCTCATGCCCAACCGCAGCCTCGACATCCATCTCCATGGCAAGCAGGGCACCTTCCTCACATGGCCAATGAGGTACGTAGTACCATCGATCTTAATTAGTACTCCCTCCGTTACTAGATATAAGTCTTTTTAGAGATTTCAATATGAACTACCTACATACAGATGTATATGAACATATTTTAGAGTGTAGATACTCAGTTTGCTCCGTATGTATCCCATATTGAAATCTCTAAAAGGTTTTATATTTAGAAACAGAGGAAGTAGTTGTATCTTGTATGCACGGCGCGCGATCATATTACTATATATAGATATTGATGGTTGCAAATGCAACCGCAGGATGAGGATATTGCTGGAGCTTGGGTCTGCACTGCTCTACCTCCACGAGGAGTGGGAGCAATGCGTGCTTCACCGGGACATCAAGCCCAGCAACGTCATGCTTGACGAGTCCTTTGGAGCCAAGCTAGGCGACTTCGGACTCGCAAGGCTCGTTGACCACGCCGCTGGGATGCAGACCATGACTGCAATCTCGGGAACTCCAGGCTACTTGGATCCCGATTGCGTGAACACTGGCAAGGCAAGCACCGAGTCCGACGTGTACAGCTTCGGCGTGGTTCTACTGGAGGTGGCATGCGGCAGGAGGCCAATGAGCCCGGCCAACCAAGACAAGCAGAAGAATGGCGGCGTCTTCCGGCTGGTCGAGTGGGTCTGGGGACTATATGGCCGAGGATCCATCCTTGAGGCCACCGACGAGCGGCTGAATGGTGACTACAACGCTGCGGAGGTGGAGAGCGTGATGGTTGTCGGGTTGTGGTGCGCGCACCCAAACCCGAGCGCACGACCATCCATCAAAACAGCCCTGGCCACGCTCCAACCCAAGGCCGACCGAGGCTACCAGCTGCCGGTGCTTCCTAGATGCCAGTGCCGATGTATGAGCCGTTGAGGCCGCTCTCCTGGGCCAATGTCGTTGGGATGTCATCATCATCCTCCCACACCGTTGGAATATCATCATCGACGTCGTCCAGCATGCCGATGCACACTTCTTGCACCACATCCTCCGACGCTAGCACTTCAACGAACAGTTCGAAGATCTCTTCTTCACTACTCAAACATCAGTAGCAGTAGTAAGTTATGGTGTGTCTTTGATATACATGTTATTGATGTGTACCTTACTAATTCTCATAGTACTGCCTGGGTATTTGATACCGGTTCGGTTGCTCATATTTGTAACTCGAAACAGGGACTACAGATTAAACGAAGATTGGCTAAGGACGAGGTGACGATGCGCGTCAGGAATGGTTCCAAGGTCAATGTGATCGCCGTCGGCACGCTACCTCTACATCTACCTTCGGGATTAGTTTTAGACCTGAATAATTGTTATTTGGTGCCAGCGTTGAGCATGAACATTATATCTGGATCTTGTTTTGTGCGGACGGTTATTCATTTAAATCAGAGAATAATGATTGTTTTATTAATATGAGTACTATCTTTTATGGTCATGCACCCTTGAAAAGTGGTCTATTTCTGTTGAATCTCGATCGTGGTGATACACATATTTATAATATTGATGCCAAAAGATGCAAAGTTGATAATGATGAACTTTGTGGCACTACCGTTTGAGTCATAACGGTGTAAAGCGCATGAAGAAACTCCATAAAGATGAACTTTTGGAATCACTTGATTATGAATCATTTGATACTTGCAAACCGTGCCTTATGGGCAAGATGACTAAAACTCCATTCTGCGGAACAACGGAGCGAGCCAATGACTTATTGGAAATAATACATACTGATGTATGCGGACCGATGCGTGTTGAGGCTCATGGTGGGTATCGTTATTTTTTTACCTTCACAGATGATTTGAGCAGATATGGGTATATCTACTTAGTGAAACACAAGTCTGAAACATTTGAAAAGTTTAAAAAAATTAGAGTGAAGTGGAGAATCATCATAAAAAGAAAATAAAGTTTTTACGATCTGATCGTGGAGGTGAATATTTGAGTTACAAGTTTGTCCTTCATTTAAAACAATGTGGAATAGTTTCACAGCTCACGCCACCTGAAACACCACAGCGTAATGGTGTGTCCGAACATCGTAACCGCACTTTATTAGTTATGGTGCGATCTGTGATGTCTCTTACCGATTTACCACTATCGTTTTGGGGTTATGCATTAGAGACAGTTGCATTCACATTAAATAGGGCACCGTCAAAATCCGTTCAGACAACACCACTATGAACTGTGGTTTGGCAACAAACCTAAGCTGTCATTTCTTAAAGTTTGGGGATGCGATGCTTATGTGAAGGAAATATGCCCTAGAGGCAATAATAAAGTTATTATTTATTTCCTCATATCATGATAAATGTTTATTATTCATGCTAGAATTGTATTAACCGGAAACATGATACATGTGTGAATACATAGACAAACATATAGTCACTAGTATGCCTCTACTTGACTAGCTCATTAATCAAAGATGGTTATGTTTCCTAACCATAGACATGTGTTGTCATTTGATTAATGGGATCACATCATTAGGAGAATGATGTGATTGACATGACCCATCCCGTTAGCTTAGCACTTGATCGTTTAGTATTCTGCTATTGCTTCCTTCATGACTTATACATGTTCCTGTAACTATGAGAATTGTGTAACTCCCGTTTACCGGAGGAACACTTTGGGTACTACCAAACGTCACAACGTAACTGGGTGATTATAAAGGAGTACCACAGGTGTCTCCGAAGGTACATGTTGAGTTAGCATAATTTGAGATTAGGTTTTGTCACTCCGATTGTCGGAGAGGTATCTCTGGGCCCTCTCGGTAATGCTCATCACCTAAGCCTTGCAAGCATATAACTAATGAGTTAGTTATGAGATGAAGTATTACAGAACGAGTAAAGAGACTTGTCGGTAACGAGATTGAACTAGGTATTGGATACCGACGATCGAATCTCGGACAAGTAACATACCGATGACAAAGGGAACAACGTATGTTGTTGTGCGGTTTGACCGATAAAGATCTTCGTAGAATATCTAGGAGCCAATATGGGCATCCAGGTCCCGCTATTGGCTATTGACCGGAGACGTGTCTCGGTCATGTCTACATTGTTCTCGAACCGTAGGGTCCGCACGCTTAACGTTACGATGATAGTTATTATGAGTTTATGCATTTTGATGTACCGAATGTTGTTCGGAGTCCCGGATGTGATCACGGACATGACGAGGAGTCTCAAAATGGTCGAGACATAAAGATTGATATATTGGAAGCCTATATTTGGACATCGAAAGTGTTCCGGGTGAAATCGGGAATTTTACCGGATTACCGGGAGGTTACCGGAACCCCCCGGGAGCCAAATGGGCCAACATGGGCTTTAGTGGAAAGGTGAAAGGGCTGCCCACATAGGGCTACGCGCCTCCCCCCTCTCCCTAGTCCTATTAGGACTAGGAGAGGGGCCGGCCCCCTTCTCTCTCTCTCACACGAGGAATCCTAGTTGGAATAGGATTGGAGGGGGGAGTCCTACTCCCGGTAGGAGTAGGACTCCTCCTGCGCCCTCTCCCTGGCCGGCGCACCTCTCCCCCTTGGCCCCTTTATATACGGGGGCAGGGGGCACCTCTAGACACACAAGTTGATCGTTCCTTAGCCGTGTGCGGTGCCCCCTGCCACCAAATTTCACCTCGGTCATATCGTTGTAGAGCTTAGGCGAAGCCCTGCGCCGGTGAAACATCAAGATCGTCACCACGCCGTCATGCTGACGGAACTCTTCCTCGACGCTTTGCTGGATCGGAGCCCGAGGATCGTCATCGAGCTGAACGTGTGCTAAGAACTCGGAGGTGCCGGAGTAACGGTGCTTGGATCGGTCGGATCGGGAAGGAGACGTACGACTACTTCCTCTACATTGTGTGATCGCTTCTGCAGTCGGTCTGCGTTGGTATGTAGACAACACTCTCCACTCGTTGCTATATCATCACCATGATCTTGCGTGTGCGTAGGAATTTTTTTGAAATACTACGTTCCCCAACAGTGGCATCCGAGCCTAGGTTTTATGGTTTGATGTTATTTGCACGAGTAGAACACAAGTGAGTTGTGGGCGATACAATTCATACTGCCTACCAGCATGTCATACTTTGGTTCGGCGGTATTGTTGGACGAGATGACCCGGACCAACCTTACGCGTACGCTTACGCGAGACCGGTTCACTCGACGTGCTTTGCACATAGATGGCTCGCGGGAAACTGTCTCACCAACTTTAATTGAACCAAGTATGGCTACGCCCGGTCCTTGAGAAGGTTAAAACGGAGTCTATTTAACAAACTATCGTTGTGGTTTTGATGCGTAGGTAAGATGAGTTCTTGCTTAAGCCCGTAGCAGCCACGTAAAACTTGCAACAACAAAGTAGAGGATGTCTAACTTGTTTTTGCAGGGCATGTTGTGATGTGATATGGTCAAGGCATGATACTAAATTTTATTGTATGAGATGATCATGTTTTGTAACTAAGTTATCGGCAACTGGCAGGAGCCATATGGTTGTCGCTTTATTGTATGCAATGCAATCGCGATGTAATGCTTTACTTTATTACTAAGCGGTAGTGATAGTCGTGGAAGCGTAAGATTGGCGAGACGACAACGATGCTACGATGGAGATCAAGGTGTCACGCCGGTGACGATGGTGATCATGACGGTGCTTCGGAGATGGAGATCACAAGCACAAGATGATGATGGCCATATCATATCACTTATATTGATTGCATGTGATGTTTATCCTTTATGCATCTTATCTTGCTTTGATTGACGGTAGCATTTAAGATGATCTCTCACTAATTATCAAGAAGTGTTCTCCCTGAGTATGCACCGTTGCGAAAGTTCTTCGTGCTGAGACACCACGTGATGATCGGGTGTGATAGGCTCTACATTCAAATACAACGGGTGCAAAACAGTTGCACACGCGGAATACTCAGGTTATACTTGACGAGCCTAGCATATACAGATATGGCCTCGGAACACGGAGACCGAAAGGTCGAGCGTGAATCATATAGTAGATATGATCAACATAGAGATGTTCACCATTGAAACTAATCCATCTCACGTGATGATCAGACATGGTTTAGTTGATATGGATCACGTAATCACTTAGATGACTAGAGAGATGTCTGTCTAAGTGGGAGTTCTTTAGTAATATGATTAATTGAACTTAAATTTATCATGAACTTAGTACCTGATAGTATTTTGCTTGTCTATGTTTGTTTGTAGATAGATGGCTCGTGCTGTTGTTCCGTTGAATCTTAATGCGTTCCTTGAGAAAGCAAAGTTGAAAGATGATGGTAGCAATTACACGGACTGGGTCCGTAACCTGAGGATTATCCTCATTGCTGCACAGAAGAGTTACATCCTGGAAGCACCGTTGGGTGCCAGGCCTGCTGCTGATGCAACTGACGACGTTAAGAACGTCTGGCAGAGCAAAGCTGATGACTACTCTATAGTTCAGTGTGCCATGCTTTACGGCTTAGAACCGGGTCTTCAACGACGTTTTGAACGTCATGGAGCATATGAGATGTTCCAGGAGTTGAAGTTAATATTTCAAGCAAATGCCCGGATTGAGAGATATGAAGTCTCCAATAAGTTCTACAAC